AGCTTTAGCTCTGAACACAAAAATTAACATTTTATTGTCTCTTGATAGGCAACTCAAGGACGCTGAGCTATAATTAATTCTAGAAAATTTAAGGTGGAATCAAGGTGTGTGCCATCAGTGTTGTGCATGGAGCACAAGGCATTTTCAGGAGAAAAATGTTCACATTTATATAGAGATCCTGTAGTTTAAAGTTTCCTTTACCAGAGTCATGCTATGGAAGAGATGGAACTGTCTGCTTTTCTAAGAATACAGCTTCTCTTTTCTCTTCAGTGCCTGCAGCTTTTATGCCACAACATGGGAAAGCTTCTGTTCTTCATGTCAGGACTTAAATATTACAAATGTGTTCAGTCATAATGAGCTCCATCTTAGAACAAATCATTTAGAATTTGGAAATAAAAAAAACACATATTTTTTCCAATTGTTGCAGTAGAAGCTTTTAGCTCTTAAGACCAACTGTCAATATGCACTTGTGCCCTACATCATGCATCTCACTTAACACATTTAATACAATAATCCTACTTAATCCCACTTAAGTGTCTTTTTCTCACGTGCTGCTGTTGCATGGCAATTCAGTGCTGTTTTACTCTATGCTGCTTGGCAATTTTGTGTGAAACATGCCTTATGGGAGGTGTTCCTGATGTCCCTGTTAGAGCCTGAAGAGGCTGAGACCATGGCTGCCAAGGTTAATAACCACTTACTGCAATTGTCACACTGCTAACAGACAGAAACTGCAAGGTTACCTGGGCCAGGATCAAGAGGGGTTCAAGATCTCCCTCCCTGAAGTGCAAGGTATATTGACAGATGGATGGGTGGGGCTCAGCTTCAGACTGCAGAGGTGGGGTTTAGTTTAGGACATCTAAAATCCATCCAGCTCACCCTGAAATATGTGTTTGTGCTGATTCTCAGCCACTCCGCTGTTTCTCTTCATATTACATCCACCTCCTCCTGTATCAAAGTCGATTCAAAGGCTAATTGGAGGCAAAAAGTCTTTATTTCTTCCAAGCAGCAGAATTGTTACAATTTTGAGACCTATGTAAACAAACCATAATGGGTTTTTCCTCAACCAGGTGTTAGCCTCCAGCAAGGAGAAAAAGAAACTGGTATTCCAGCACTATCAAGCTCCTTGCTCTTGCAACCTGTGCTGCATCATTATCCTCCCATTAATTTCAAACTAATAGTGCTTACTTTGGATAATGGTGACTGCGGGGAAAGACACGTAACTAATTAAAACTAACCACACCAAACATCATCTTCTCTCAAAAACTTTTTCATTCTAAATGCCTGGACAAAATTAGTGAGTGACAATGACTAAAGGAAGTCTTCTTGTTTAACTTATTTCTGGATGGAGAAAATGACTGAGTTCCCCTAGAAGTTTACCCAGTAAATTAGAACAAGTGGGCAATAGGTAGATCAAAGTGCTTTGTCTCTTGGGTTAATTTAAAGCAATGGATGTGTTTCTGCCTTTGAAAAATGCAGCCATGTATTCTGAGTGTTTTGTCTGCTGTTGTAACACCACTTAAAGCAAATTATCTCAAATTATATTAAAATATTAAGCTTCTAATTTTTCTCCAAAGTGTTATTACTTGAGAAGAGGGAATGAAAAGCTTGATCTTAATTGCACCATCCTACTTTGCACTTTATAAGGGTGCCAGACTCAAGAGCAAGGCTGGGATGTCCCTGTTAGCACACTGTGTTTGACACCAAGGGATGGTGACCTGGGCTGTTTTTGTATTTGGGAGACTTCAGGAACAATGAACAAGCTCTGCTCTGGGCATTGACCACAAACCCATGAACTCTCCATATTTATTTCTGTGCTGCCCTGGAACACGAGTCACTTAGACATGTCATATCCTGCCTCACTCTTACCTTTATCCAGGAGCTTGGATCTGAGCTTGAAGTGCAGCTGATTCTTGAGGCGTAACTGGACGTGAAGAGCACATGGAATATTCCTGGAACTCTCTGGCTGCCTGGCCATGAAACTGTTTTTTACTATAGTGGCTGCTGAGCTTCCTTAGTCTCCAAAAGGGGCAACTGTGCACTGGAAACAGTCCTCAACTTATTCTAACTTCTGTACCATGATGAGGTGTTTTTGACCATGCAGCTGTGGGCAGAAAATATTCTAGGGACTGTTGATAGCAATCTAATTATCATTGAGATCTATCCTTTTCTATCAGCACTAAATATTGCACTCAGACCTGAGTGGTGTGGGGGATCAGAAGACAGAAAGTTCAAAAAAACTAATGAATGAATCTCTTCTTAGGAAATCTCCTTCTTAGGAAATAAAGTGAATTAAATATTTAATAAACTGTATAGTATTACACATTATTTTTCCACTACCCAACTGCTCCACTGATCTCATGAAAAACAAGTAGAGTAATATAAAATGTAAATTAAAGGGAACCTATTAAAGAAATTGAGCTCCCTAAATGATAATTGCAACAAAAAAGAAAATTAAAAGTTTAACAAGAGGGCAATAAAAGAAGGGATTTAAATATTCTAAGTGTATTCAGATATAAAACTTAATTGGTGCTGAAGAAGTTTAAGTTAAGCAGCTAACAAGATAAACACTTCTGATGACAGAAAATTAATGTTGTGTCACAGCAAAAGACTACTTTATTTGATATTTTATACTTTATTTATGCTATATGACAATTTAATTAAACATTCAAGTAATCCAGTCAAATAATTTCCTAGTGGAATAAACCAAGTATGATCAACTCCCTTTTCCATAAAGGATCAATGCAGTATGACACCTGATTTATGATATATGACTGTGCAGTCTTAAATTTTATGTCAAAATTAATGAGACAAAATAGATTTCCAAGGGCTGTTTTTTCACCACCACACACACATGATAAGTCAATTGCTGGAAATAAGCTATAACAGAGAAATTTCCATGCTCCTTGTGATAGGATTACTTTGGAATTTAATAAAAACATGTTGCTAAATCTCAGTGGAAGGGGGAAAAGAAAGTCTTTCTGTCCAGATCCATTAGTTAGGAGTAATTTTGGAACGTTTTGAGTGTTAATGTTTTGCAATCTGTTGTCTTTTACAGGAGCTAAAAAGAAAGAAACCAAGGCATGGCATGTGACTGAACCACTTTATTCAAATCAGTCTAAACATTATTTCTACTGAATTCTATTAGAATATTAATAACAATATTTTTGGGGAATTCCATTTATTTCATTTTCCTGTTTTTTAAAGTTTCAGTTAAGTGTTGTTTCTCTTGTAAATTGTACACAATTCCAAGATCGGGCTCACTGACATGACTTGATAGAACACACGTGTTCCATCACACATAAAAATGTATTTTATTCATGTTTTTTTACCTGTGGCTGTGCACACCTGTGAGCCTGTGGTTTGACAGCAATTGTGAAAGGCTTAAGCTGCTGCTGAGACTGCCCAGGCTTCACATAAAGTCTATCCCTGTGAGTTTATTTTCCCCCAGGTAAAGCTGAACAAAGGTGAGGAAAGGCAACCAGGGAGATTGGCTGGGCCAAGCTCGGAACAGGTCAATGACAAAAGTGTCTCTTTCATGGATGTCTTTCCTTGGCTAAATCCCTCAAGAATGCCCTAAAAGTGTCTGCCTGAGGGAAGCAGATAATTTGCAAGACTGAAAGGCTTTTCAAATATTTGGAAGGCTGTTCTGCAACTAGACACGTCTGGTTTTATGTCCCCAATGTTTCTTCTTGATGGCCTACACTTGTATTTTGATTTTTTAATGTAGAACATGAGCAAATCTTTTAGTGACAGTAACATTTGAAATCTCCACTTTCTACCTCTAGCAAGACCACGTGTGGTCCTAAATTATTTTACAAAGTACTACAACTGATAATTTACTTTTTTATTTATTGAGAAAAGAAAAAATTTTCTTCCAGTAGAATGTACCCATATTTAAAAATGTTTAAAGGACATTAAAAATGTCTAAATACAAATCTATTTCTCTGTCAAGGGATAATAAAAAACCAATATTTTCTTGTGTGATTCAGGAACAGAGATCTCTATTAAAGATCACAGATAGTTCTCCAAGATTGACAGCAACAAATAAATGAATTTACAGTGTAGAATACACATATGTGTGCATTAACTTACCTGTAACACTTCACCTTGTAACATTTTAACAACCTCCCACAACCTTTACTTTTTTTTTCTTATTTCACATTAAAAGTATTCCAAAGGCTTCCTAAATTTTCTGTTGATAACAAGCTTCTTTTTCCTTAATTATACATTAAAAATATATTTACCCAGTGGCCAGCAGACCTTGGCTCAGCTGCTCTCTCACTCCCCCTCCTCAGCAGGAGAGAGGTAGAAAATAAGGTGAAAAATCTCATAGGTTGAGAAAAAGACTGGGAATACTCTTAATGTTTTGTAATCTTAAAGCAATCTGATAAAGATTAATTGATAGAGAAGGCAATATTGAATTTTTTAAATGACAGAATTTCCATATAATACAGTCTTTGAAGAATATCCATCTAAAGGAAGCTGTGAATCAAGGTGCAAAATATTTTACTTTTTTAAAAATTCTTTCTTTTAAATGAAAGCTGAAACAAATTTATAATTATATCTGAAAAGTATTTAAAAGGTTGAAAATATGAATATATGATGATGATAAATTGTTTCCTGAAATAAATGTCCTAGTAGTTTGCAGGAGACGAGACCAGTAGCAGAGATCACAGAATTTAACTGAAAAAGAAAAATCCTGGAGAAAATTTATCTGGTAAAGTCTCTTTCACTCCAGAAAATTGTTTTCAGAAAACCCTAGGCAGATACAGCAGGATTGGTGAATGTTTATAACGAGGGTGTCACTGATGAGTGGATGAGGAGTGATGGAATAGTCAAGTCTGCTGGCTGAAAGATGCACTTTCATACCTATAAGTACATGTGAAGCTCCAGACCATCAGGTAGATGAAAAACATCTGAGGCTGCAAAGCTATGATGGTAAGGGAGTAGTGAGCTATAAAAAAACCCAGTAATTTCCTCTGTTGGCAATGACAGAACTTGGGAAAACATAAAGAAGAAGGCAATTGTGCATGTAAGATAACCTTTCCTCTTTGCTACCTCCCTTGTGTGAAATATGTTGATCATCTCAGATTATTGTTTCATGTCTTACTTTATGCAAGACTCCAAGAGATTTGACAGCTACACATTTAAATACTGAAATAATGAAGCAGTGACTCACCCAAAGACTGGTAAACCTAAGGAATGGGTGCAGCACTGGCTGTAAACCTTCAAGGGCAGCAGATGTTTCTTTCTGTAAAGATTAAAAGCAGAAATGAGAAAGTAACATGTAATAATTTCTGAAGAACATTTCCCTTCAGTCTTCTGGCCAAAAGGCAATGGACAAATTTTCTAGACCTTTTGTGAGTTCTCCAGCAAAAAATTGTTCTTGGTTCATCTACAGCTAGTGAATAGTTCATTGTCAAAAATTCTCCAGTTCTTCTGTCTTTGGTGGTGAAACTTCGTGGTGTTGGATGATACTTTCAGCATTTCCTGCTTTAAATGGCCATCCAGATCAGTGAGAAATTACCCTTTATATTATTTTTTTTTAAAAAAATCTCATTTCCCACAGCTTTAATATGTGAAATTCAAGTTTATATTGCTTGCTTTTTGTGTTAGGCAGGACTCTGGGAGGATTTTGGTCAGGCTTTTAGGACTATCTGAACTTTAATCAGTTTCTCTACCTTGGAACACAATCTCAAACATACTTTGACATTTAGAGTTGGTTCCAAAGTGCTCCAGCGTGAGTGGTAAGGCAATTTGTTGCTGTGAAGAAAATGCAGCTTCCTCTATCAGAAATGTGCAGGTCAAGCAGCAGGCTCAGAGAGGACATTTGGAAATGGGGTCAGAAAAAGTGACAACTTATCCTTTGCATGAAGTGAGCACATTTCTGCAGGGAGCAAGAGACTTGTATCTACCTCCCAGCCCAGAGGAGACCTACTCTATCCCCCTCCCTACCAAAGCATAGCCTGATCAGCAGAAAGAGAAGGCAGAGATTTTGAAACCCTACAGCCAAACATATCTATCACATAAAACAGATAAAGAAATCATGTACCTGGCTGAGCCAAGGAGGCGTGGATTTTTCACCTTGATTTCTGTGCAGAGTGAAGAGGCACAGGTAACTGTTTATTCAGCATCCAGTGTGGAACAAGAGACTTCTTCACTGTCTTAAATACAGAATAAAATGATGCACAGACTGGAACCAAATTTCTCACATCCTAAAACATTTTCTTAACCACCATGTCTGCAAAATGAAAGGTTTTGATTTGGTAGTGTCCTCACCACCTTCAGGCACATAGTCCAGTGATTAAGGTGTATTGTCACAGATAATCTTTTTGGTGTGAATTGTCACTGTATTATTCAAAGTTTAATAATTTTGTTATACTTGTAGAAGGCAGGTATTTGATAACCTGATTATATTGGCTCATCATCTTACAAAGCTGAGTGTGTGAGATCCTGGCTCTCAGCAGGCCAGACCAAGCACCAAGCTGCCTTACTGCCTGTGGTTTTATCAATTAATGGGAAATTTGCCACAGACTTCAAAGCCAATATATTGGAGCCCTGTTTCTTCATGTTATAATCACTCCCTTTAACTGTGAGGTCTTATGATGTAGACAGATGAGAAAAAGAAGAAAAAAGATCAAAAATACCCAAATTTTTTCCTTAGCTAGTTCAAAACTGTTACACTCAATGGCACTGCTTTACTTAGGTGTATCTTTGTCTATGTTTTTCTACAAAAACTTAAAACACAATTAAATTTCTCATTCTGATAATCTTTGCTTGTTTTTTTATATTTATTTTCTAGTTTTCAGATATATATATATCTGTGCATAAATATGGATATGCTAAAATTATGTTTAAAATATAAAATTATTAAAATCCATATGGATTTTAATATATTAAAATATGGATTAAAATCCATATGTTTAATATAAACATATTAAAATCCATATGGATTATATGGATATATATGGATATATTAAAATTCTGTCCAATCAGTGAAAACCTAATCAAATATGAGGGTTTGTTTTTTTTTCACTTAGCAACAGAAGGACTCAGGAAGTATCAGATGTAAAATATTGTAACAATTAAATTCACTCTTTCTCAAAAATTGAGCCAGAGCAGCTTGCCCCAAGGGTACTTAAAATTTTGCAGTTTCATGGTTTTGAGCTGAATAAAGACCTTAATACCTTAAATAACCAGATCCTTCTCTCTAAATTTGTGTGAAAAGTAAAAGTCTTTGTGTCTTGAAAATGTAAAACTAATACATTAATTTGATTGCAGTGATAAGGAGATAAAATCAGGGAAAACAAATCAGCATCTTTTTTCCTTCAGCCTTGTGCAATGAATCAATGACTTGGCCTTGTGGTCTGATAACCCAGACAACTGAAATAGTTTAATCAATGTAACAGCACAGGTTGTGTTGAAAATTATCCACAGATCACAGGTCCACACAATGACATCTGACACCTTAAATCTCCAATAGCCCAGCAGCCCATGGAGGCAGGAAAGGACTCTGCTGTGCATTTTATGCACTTGGAGTGGTAACCCATCCCCTCTGGCACTGAAAGCCCATTGTCTGTGGCTTGACTATGAGCTTGTGTGCAAAAAAATTAGGCACATTTTTAAGTACTAAAGTTTTCTAATTCCCTACTGGATTGTCTTGCTTGGAGGGCATGGTGGTGTCCTGTAGGATTCTCAGGCCAAGTGCAAGGTCGACTTTTATGTTGCTGTAAATAAGCTGTGCTCAGTGACTACAACAGTCTTAGAATCACAGAATAACTAAAGTTGGAAAAAACTTTTAAGATCACCTACTCCAACCCTTAACCCCTCACTGCCAAGTCCACCAGGAAACCATGTCCTCAGCCACATCTGCAGGCTTATAAATCCCTCCTACATGGTGGTTCTGCCCCTCCCCTGGGAGTTACAAGGCTTGACCACCCTTCCAGCAAGGAAGATTTTCCCAATAACCATTCTAAGCCTCCCCTACTCCAGCTTGAGGCCATTTCCTCTGAAATGATGAAATGATACACTTCTGTATGATGTTCTGAAGATGCTTCTTGCTTGAGAATGGGCAGTGTGTGCTCGTGACAACCAAGAACAACAACATGTTCTGGTCTGTTTTGCTATTTTTCCCTAGCACCAGCTCCCTCTGGAAAATTATGTTGGGAAAAATGCCACTTGTGGACACTGCTGCAGTGGGAGCTACTGTCCTTCCAGAACTTCAGGCCTGATTGTCTCATCATCATTCCTCCAAAACCGTCAGTCCTGAGCTGCAGTGTGAGCATATCAGGGATGTGATGGCAGCTCTGCATCTCTGACAGTATCTCCTTCCCAGGAAAATGCCTGAATTACCTTTCTGAAAGCCCCTGAAGGAGGAAATCCCAGGAATTTCCTTGCATCTTTCTGGTATTTATTTAAGTGGACAAATCCTGTTTGACTCCTCTGGTTCTTGTGGTCATTTTTCCCACTATGACTTCAGTGAGTTTTACTTGAAAAAGAGTTGAATAGTAATAAGGAAATGGAAAGGGACAAGGAAAAGGAAAAAAGGGGGAGAGATGAAGCAAAAGGAAGAGGGAGATGGGGGAAAAAAGAAAAAAAGGGAAAAATATAAAAATATATACTAATATGGGACAAAAGAAAAATTAAAAGAGAGGGAAAAATGAAAAAATAAAACTTCGGCATTCTGATTTAATTTAAAAAAGTGGTTTATTAAAAAGTACTTTTCTAATGATTTCACTGAGACACATCCGAACAATGCTCCAGAGGAACAAGGAATGCAAACTTTGTCTCACTGATGCTCATCAGATTACAGTAGCCAAGGCATCAGTCACAGTGCATACTGGCTTTCATGGCTGCCTGACAAGATTTGGTGGAGGAAACACAATTCAAATAATACATTAATGCTGTCTAGTTACCCTTCTGAGTTAGTTACCCTTCTGAGTTCAACCTTGCTGGGTGCTTTGTATTCTGTGTATTCTGATTCTTTTCCTTGATGCACTTATTCTTGTGCTCAACTTTAAGTGTATGAGAAATCCCAGCAGTTCAGGCTAAATGTGTGCTCAAATGTTGCAATAAAGCTGTGTTGTTCTGCACTTCACAAGATAAAGGCTCTTCAGAGGATCTTGGAATCCCTCTGAAGCATTATTTAATTGATCTTTATGATATTTCTGCAACAAATGCAATATTGTTCTTTTCCTTAGGACTCTAAAATGACCTATGAAAGGTAAAAGTCATGATCCATCTGGGAAAGTCTAAAGAAAGGAATTAAAATGTCTTAACTATGAATGTCAAGGTATGTGTACTAAACAATTTTAGCCATGAAAATGCCATTATACCTTACTTCAGTAACCCTGAAGTTTAGTAAATATTATTTGTGATACAGACCAATGTAACTGAATCTCAGTATAATTTAGGTTGGAAATGGTAAGACACTTCACCTATAGTAAGTTCAATATTAGCATGGGGCAGCAAATCATGGATGAAAAAGCAGGTGTAAAGCATCAGTGAATATGTATAAAATGCTATATGGACTTTTTCCTGTCTTATTTTTGTCTAGACTAGTTACAATTCATTCTGTGGGCTGTTAAGATTTCAATTACACATTCTTGATTTTACACAGAAGCTATGTTTCCTTTTGCCCAAAACATGGTTTTGAATAAAATATTTTCATACTTTTTCATAGCAGAAAATATATAGGGTCTATTAATGATGGTTCTTTTTTTTAGTTTTTCTCTTTCAACAGGCAACAAATACAGCAATCAAAACAAACATTAATGTCTAATTTCTATGTTTTGAAATATCATGGATTGTTAGGAAAATGTTAGGAAAATATGAATTTAAATATGGTATCTAGTTTTGCTTATATTTGCATATATTTACTTTAAAAATGTAAATCTGACTCCACTAAGGATTTATTTTTTCAAGAAGTCCACTCAAATTAAACAGACTTCTTGGCATCCGAAACTCAAATGTTCTTAGTCTACTTTTCTTCCAAGATAATCTTTATCACTAATTTTGTTGTTGTTGCTGTTTTGATTTCAGGTTTTTTTGGGTATAGTAAGTAATCTGAAATAATTTAGTTCTTTTCTAATTCCTGGTTTACAGCCCTATTTTGTTCTAGGTGTGATGTAGAAAAAGGCTTGAAGTAACACAAGGCTGAATGATAAATAAGTGTCTGCTCTAGATGGGCTGAGCAAGAGAGAAGTGACTTTCATTTGACTAAGAAAGACTTGATTACAGTAAACCAAGTTGCTTTAAAATGGGCATTTAAGGTCCTTAGCAATGCTCTGGGATACCAAAGATATCTCACTCAGATGGCAAATACCACACAGATCTTAGGAAAGCCAAATTCTTCTCCAGTCCCACAGTGCTCAAAATGACAGCAAACATTCATATGGAGACAACTTTACCTTGTTGAGCATTAAAAATAAATGCTTTGAGATGGGTGTCTGTAAGCTTTTATCAGTCCTTATAGGAAAACAGATTGTAAAATTCTATCTGTTGAGAAGAAAGGAGAGAATTTTTCCTAAAGTTAGTACCTACAGTAGGCCAAATGCCTTGCTGGTGAGAACACCCATCTTTCTCCACAAGGTATAGCAGTGACCTAGCACAGCTCATAAAATCCTGCTGACATCATGCATTCCATGAGATGAATACTGAGATACCAAATTATGTAAAATTCTTCAATGCTTCCTGTTTTGTCTTCTGTTTGTTTGGTGGAAATATCTAATGACAAGAACTTTCCTGAATTATGTGAAATAATACATTGCTTTGCTAGTGGATTTGCAGGCTTGTAGTTTGCACATAATTTAGGGTCCCATATGCTGCACACTGTTCTTAGAGCTGAATAGATCTATTGATTTGTTCATGAGCAGTACTACAGATCATCAGCTTCACAGTATTGTATTCTTATTCACTTCAACCTGAAATGCACAGCCTTTGTCATCTATGACAAAGAGAGTGGGGCAGAAATGTTTCCATAAGCGATATCTTGCAGATAAGTGATACTTCTGAAAAATATATGCATCTAGGCTGTTTATATCACTTTGTTTTAAGAACAACATACATCTTCACAGTGCTTTTCCCCAGAAAAAAGGTATTAAATTGAGAATATTTGGTATAAAACTACTGCTGACTTACGAGACATCACATAGGAAATCTAAAATGAGTCTGAAGTTAAAGTTAGGACTTTGGCTTGGGATTAAGACAGGTGAATACTGGTGTCTTTTTATGCCATCCCTACCCAATTTGCCCTTTCTTTTTAATGGGATTTAGAATTCTTTGAGACTAGAGAGAAAATTATTTTAAATTTATCTTGCTGACAAGTTAGCTGAATGTTCCTCTGAACTCCTGTATTTCTGCTCAAGGGATTCAGTTCAGCTTTCCATAAACAGACCCCTATTGCCACTTAAGATGCTTTAATACATTCACAACTTACATCCATGGCTGTAGCAGATATAACACAGGAGGCCTGTTAATTGCACACTTTTCTGGTATGAATGGTCAATATACAAAATACAGCAATCATGTGAAAAGTTGATAAATTAGGTAAGAGTGGTAAAAGGAAGAATGTGAAAGCTTCAAGGCGTGAGAAGAATTATTTGTTGGCAAGTTCTTGGTATGAAAAGCTTTATTTTGAGGTGTGTGTGCAATAAAAGTGAAATTGTGAGACCCTTCCACCAGTGTGCTGTTGTGGGGATTCATTTTGGATGACAATCTAGGGACAGTTTCAGCTCTGCTTTCTCCTCCCCCCTAAACAGCATCACTGTCCTCCTCACCAGGTTTTTCAGAAGCTAATATATGTCTGCTGTGCTGAGCAGAAATTCTGTACCCCAAGAAACCTTTTCTAGTATGAATTTTATAGATAATTTGATTTTATAAAGTCTCTCTGCTGCAATAAACACATGATTCTAAAGTAGCAGAAAAATATGTTTCATTAAATCACTCTCAAGCATCCTAGTTAGGACTTGCCTTTGAAATTGCATTGTGTATACTCTCTGAGAAAATATTACATTTCTGGTGTGAGGTGTAGTTATCTTCACAGCCACTTAAGATCTGTGAAAAAAAAGGAAAAGGTCATAGTAAAAATCCTTGTGACAAGGACTTGGGATCCAAGTAGTTTTGCAGTATGATATTTTCAGGCTTTTGTACCTGGAGAAAGAATAGAAAAAAAAAATTAAGAAAAAAAAGAAACCACTCAAAAATTTTTAAAAAACCTCATGAATTAAAAGGCCTGTCTCACAGCGATTGTGAGCTTGGACTTTACTAATGCATGTGCATCTTTTCTTGTCCTTGATCCATATTCTTTGTGAGTTCAGGAAACCTTAATGGCAGTTGTTGTTGTCATAATTGGGAAAGACGATTTTCATCTGCTTGGGCTTTGCATCAAGGAAATTGAAGCTGTGTCAGGGCTGGTTTAAGCTGGATATCAGGGAAAAGTCCTTCACCCAGATGGTGGCTGGGCACTGGAACAGGCTCCCCAGCACCAAACTTGACAGAGTTTAAGAAGTCTTTGCACAATGCTCTAAAGCACACAGTGGAATTCCTGAGGCTGCCCTGTGTGGGACCAGAAGCTGGACTTTGATGACCCTTGTGGGTCCCTTCCAACTCAGGATATTCTGTGATTCTGTGAAATTACTGAGTTACCTTTTGAGGCACATGGTTTCAGCATTTCTACATACCCACAGAAGAATATTACCCATTTATTGCTGATAATTCATGATTCAGTCCTGAAAACCATTATTATTTTTCTTATTATGCTTGATGCTATGTGCCCTCCAGTTTGGAGTGTGAAACATTTCACTGCTAGTTGTTTTTTCCTCAGGTATGGATTATATCTATACTTGTTGACCACTCAATACAGTAGAAATTCAGTACTAACTGCTGGCACAAATATCCACTTGCATTGCTGTGTTTTGTTCTCCTAATGAAACAGGAGGCCTTTGAAGTGCTCTGTGTGCAGGAAGAAAGACACAGAGACATACTTCTTTAGTTATTGTCACCTTTGTAAAAGACCACAAAATCTCAGACATAGAGACATAGTTACAGCTTGTGCTACAGCAGGGTACAATCAGAAGATCCAGTTAGAAAAGGTGAGTTCCACTCTGTGGTTCCCAGACAAACATTGAGTGGATGAGAGCACAGAAATGAGGGAATTTAATATTTATTTTTAACAAAAGGGGAGAAAAACCTTATGGAGTTAGTGTTCAGCTTTAAAAGATCATGGAATGGGTCAGAAGAGGAAATAAATAAGCAGGCAGAAGAGAGAGATTAAGTTTTCATCTTCATCTGGAAATGAACCGAACTATAGGGAATTCAAGTTAAGCAGAAAACAAATACCAAACCCAAAGATCTGCAAGTGAGAAAGAGAAAGAGCAGAGTTGGCAGATTGACCTGGCTGGGGTCACAAGGAGGAGATGTGGACAACCTGGAATGCACAGCATGGAATCAAAAGCATTGGAATGGGCTTTGGCACTGGAAAGGGCTGCCCAGGATGGTGGAGGAGTTGCCAACCCTGAAGGAGTTGAGGAAACAGCTGGACATGGGACTTGATGCTTTAGTTGACAAGGTGGTGAGTGGACTCAATGATCTTGGAGGTCTTTTGCAGCCTTAATAATTCTTTGTTTCTTTGATTCTGTGAATGGAAATAAAACTGTGAAGTTTCACTACATGCTGACCATTTCTGCATTTTCCAAACTACACAGACAACTCTAATCTTGGCATTTGCTGTCCAGTATTGAATGCAACACTGCCTTACAGAGAATGTAAAATTTATTTTGAAGTAATACACATAAAGTTCAAATATTATATCACTTCATATTGATTTAATGTTATTTGTAATGTTTTGTATTGATCTAAGCGGAAAAGGAAATTAATTACACTAAAGGACAGTAAACACTGATACTCAGAAAAAAATGTTTATTACATACAAACCCAAAAATACCCTGTCCAGAAACCAAAATATTCCATGTATTTACATTTTAAATTCTTTCTACATTTTGAAACATTAAAATAATGTAAATGTGAACAGATGGAGTTACATCAGCAAGTAAAATATGGGCAAGTAAGACATGGATGTTGATCTTCCACTTTAGAAGAACATTAGGGCTTTTGTTTTAGGATCTTCAGTACCATTTAACTACGGCAAATAACTAAATAAATTCTTAACATGTAATTCTTTACAGTAATTATCATTTATTTTCACTGGAATATTAGAGTATTACCTACTTCTCACCCTTGTGATAGTTTTGTTATCCTGAGTAGTAGTGACAGTTATAAGAGTTTATTACTTCATAGCATCATAAAGCTAAGATATGAATCCCATCCTCACACTATTGTTCTATAATGTCTAATAAAATAAGTCTTGAGCTCAGTTTGGGTTTCTGTTTCCAGCAGACCTGGAGATTTAGATTAGAATCATAAAGATAGATATAATAAAAATATTGCAGTGGTACCTTCAGAACCTTGGGTGATTTCTGCCAGAAAAATATAAATAAATGAATGTAAGAAAAATATGCAACTGCTAGTTAACAGTCTTTGCTCTGAAAACACATAAGGAGAAAAACTATGAAGAAAAGTGTTGTTTTTACTAACATTCTTCATTTTTATTGAAGTTAGATAATGTTCACAAAGTGTTTTCTTATGCTTGGATGATCAACATAAAATAAAGTGAATTGTGCTGGATAAGCATTATTAGTAAAAATATGTATTGTTAGATAAAGTGAAGTTTTGTGATACAACACAAAAACAAACCAAGACTCTTGAGGTAGAAACTCTTTTGCTTTGAAAAGTCAATGAGTATTGATTTTGATATGAATGATGTTTGGTTTATATTACTAGCTATATAAAAGATTTTGATCCTTTCAATAGAATAGAAAGACAAATATACTTGTAGAGGATTTTTCTCATTAGAATAACTAAAAATGTAATAAAGCAGAGAGCTTTCAAAGATACAAGGTTCTTTATCTATTAAAGTGCATATTTCAAAATGTCGATTCTGCATATGCTGGAATTTAATTGAAAATTAAACTACATCATAGTGACTATTAAGAAATGAGAATAAGTGGATAGGCTATCTCCTTCAATGCCAGTGACTGGTTTTTTTTTGTTTGTTTTTTTCAGCCACTTTGGGAATCAGCTTCCAGAAACTGAAAGAGGCAGAACCTGCCAGTCAGGGCCTGGAGTATGGAGGTATCTCACTCCCTCTCTCTCTCTCTGGCTAATGGAAAATCCTTTTTCTCTCTAGTTGAAAAGGACATAGTCACAACTTATCTACCTCACAGCCCTTTGCAATACTAAGCATGGAGAAATTAGCATATAATTAAACCAGTGTATGAATGTGAGTAAATGAGTATAATATGTATTAATGGGCATGGGTAAGACTGTTAAAAAGCTTTTCCAAAATGTGCCAACATCCTGGTGAGCTTCTGGTTGTGCAGACAACACTCTCTTCACACCACGCTGGGTCAGTGCTGTGCACATCCCTGCTGGAATGTACATGCATATTTACACAGGGTTGTCCTCTCAATTCAGTAAGACATCATTGCTAGAAGCTTCCCTGTAGGAAGATAAGCTTTGCTGTTTATCCTGTTTAAAATGCACTTTATTCAAAGCCCATCTGGAGGAACTGTATGTTTAAACTGTGTTGTGGTCTAACCTGGTATCTAATTTAACAGGACCAAAAAGACAAGTATAATAAAAACAACAATAAAATAATTAGAAGTTACAAGTGACGCACAAAGCAATTGCTCACCATCTTTTGACTGATGTCCAGTCAGGTTCTGAGCAGTGGCCCCCAGACAGCTTCTCCTTGTGCACCCCGAGACTCCTCGTTGTTCAGGTGGGGCAAGAAGCAGAAAAGTCCCTGACTGGATGCAGCCACTAAAACATCCAAATGTTTTCAATGCTATTCTCATCCTCAATTTAAAATGCAGCACTATACCTGCTACCAGGAAGAAAATTAACTCTATCTCAGCCAAAACCAGGATGGTAAGTAAAAGCTGATTAGCATAATTCAATCAGTCTATATCTGCTGAACACTCCTGTCATCTCCTCAAAGATTTAACAGAGCACTTCTTTTGCCTGACCTTTGCTCACTCTGACAATAATCTCTGAGAGAATTCCAGGAACATTTCTACACAAGACTTGCTAGGAATCAAGCAAGCTTTAAAAACTGGAAACATATAAAAGCTACTTCAGAATTATTTGTTATCTGCTAAAATGCAGATATTTTGCAGTGTGCATCATAATTGTTTGTACTAACTGGTAACAGCTCTAAAAAACAAAGGTAACCTAGGATAGATTTCAGTAATCAAGATGATTTACTGTTATTAGGATGTATTGAAATGCTCACTGAAGACAAAAGAATGTTTTTTTTTTTATGCTTACAGATGAGATACTCTGGGGTATTGATAAAATTAAAAAAAAAAAAATTCCAGTAGGAAATTATTCTGGATTTGATTAAAAGCTCATATAGCCTCATATTCAATCTGTAGAATTGACCACTGTGAATGGTGTAAGAAAAAGGGACAAGAGTGGGATGAGGATATTGCAATAGTTTCGAGAATATTTTCCCAGCACCATGATAGGTGATTCATAGGCCTCCTGAATCAGAAGACTTTTCTTCATGTTTAATAGCCTGTAATAGATATTTGTCCATTAATTTATCTAGTCCCTGTCAAAAAGTTCCATATTTTAGAAATCCATAAATGCTGACATTTGTCTCTTCCAAGTTTTCCATTTTTCCCTACTCACCTTCTCCACACCAGATCTGGTTTTACAGACCTCCATTGCATTAATTTTTCTCTGTCCCTTCTTCCTCTGCTTCCAGCTGTCATCTTTTCAAACAAAAGGCTCTTGATCTTGTTGAACAGCATCTTGATCTTGATTTTGAACAGATTCACACAATCATGGAATGGTTTGGGTTGGAAGGGACCTTAAAGATCATCTTGTTCCAAGCACCTCTCACATCCTGTCCAGCTGGGACACCTCTCACTACACCAGGTTGCTCAAAGCCCAATCCAGCCTGGCTTCCAGGGGTAGGGCATCCATAACCACTCTGGGAAACATGTGCCTTACCACCCTCACAGCAAAGAATTTCTTCCTAATATCTAATCCAAATCTGCCCTTTTTCAGCTTAAAGCCATTTCCCCTTGTTCTATTCCTGTTTGCTCTTGCGTCTTCTTCAATCGTTTTTCTCAACAAGAAGGTGGCTCAAACTTTGCTTTAATATTTCTGTTTCTAATTTTACTCTTTATAAAGAAAGATGACTGTATTCTGCTGTACATACATCCACACAGTCCCTGTTGAGAGGTGCAGTTTTACAGGAGGAACCCTGAGGCCTGAGAGCTGCAATCTGTGTGTACACTATCTATTCTGATTAGAGAACACTCGTTTACCATGGCTATGCTTCTTTCACAACCCAGTTAATGCTAGATAGCTACATTTTCTGCAATTAAAATTTGTCAGAATAAAGAAAAATCTTTAGTTACAGTAGTGTATGTAAATACTGGTTAAATCCTTAAGGAATACAAAGTTGACTAGTAACTAGTTCACTAGTAACAGGACTCATTATATGATTTAGATTTATATGTCTGCAGGTTATATTCTGCTGTAAGCAAGTAATTTCTTTTCTCATATTAATCCAAGTTTAGAGCTTGTTGCTGAACAAACTAGTGAAAAATGGATGGTTCTTCTGCATTTTATAATCTCTGCTTCTCTCATTGAAAACAACCCAAACATAAATAGATAAAGATATGACTGGCTTATTCTTACTTTGCTAATGCATGTGTTTTTAGAATCCTGTTGTATCAATTATATATTACATTAGCATTCATTCATGCAATTAATGTTCTGTTATGTGAACAGACAATAATTACTGTTTACAGATTAATGGGGTCAGCTGTTGCAGGTGCTTTTAGTCAAATTTGGAAATGGTCAGCAAAACTTTTTTTTCACATATTTCTGATGGTTTTGACAGCATCAGATGTTACTGGTGCAGCTGAGATCCTTGTGATGTAGTTCTAAAAAAGAGACTGCAATGTTCTTAGCATGGGTCTGCAGGGCAAACCAATGCAGGAGCCGATGAAGAAGGAAACATTTTCCTTGCTGTGATTTATAACTCAGCATGAGAACTCGAGCTGAAGTAGTTGAGCACAGAAACAGGGGATTCTGGCAGTCATGAAGGCTCTTCATGTTATTTATTGATTGGCACAAGACCGATTCTTCAGACTTAAAGACTGTAATTCAGAAATCTGAGCCACCTTGGGTAAGCCCATGAGTATGGGAGGTCCAAGTGCTACAGCAGCATTCACAGAAGGTGTCACCCTAAACTGGGAACTGTCTTATTCCCTTTCTCTTGTGAGATCCTTAAACCTACGCCATATCTAAAAGTCAACAGGACCAGAGAGGGTTAACCTTGGCTGAGGGTCAAGCTCCCACACACAGCATCTCACTCCCTGTCCTCAAATGAACAGGGAAGAAAAAAGGGTGGAAAAGTTTGTGGGTTGAGATTAAGACAGGGAAATCCCTTACCAGGGATTCCTGTTGTGGGCCTGAAGCCCATCTATCCTTCCTTTCCCTCTATCCCCTGTGGGGTCTCTCTTCTGCTGCTCCATCCTTGGCTTTCTCCTCCTCTGCCACTGCTGCCTTTGGCCTGTTCTGGAAACTTTCTCCCTCAGGCATCACCAGCTTGGATGGCAGGGGTGTTCCCTGAATTTGGGTCACAGGGAAAGAACCTTATGGGAGACATCTCACAATATATAAGAAGCTGTAGAGTCTTACGTGAAACTTAAGGACTTAAAGTTCTTTTCTGATCTAAAGATTTATGGCTCAGAAAGTTATGGAAATATGTGTAGTCTCACAGTGAAGTTAGAGAGACATTCTGGTAAGAGATTTGCCATATGTCTTCAAATCTCCTGTAAATGGCTGTGATTCTATTCATAGGTATTATGCACAAGCCCTGAAGAAAGATGGCTGAAAAAAGGCTTTTGACAACAGGAATATATCTTGGTTAATAAGCTCCTTTGGAAATCTGAACAATCTTCCAGGATGTCTTCTGTTCTCATTTCCCTTTTCTTATATTAATTAATTTTCTGATCACCACTGATGGATATGTTTCAAGTGAGCCATAGTATGTCAAACTGATTTATAGAATAAAATGTCTATTTACTATTCCTGGATCCTTCTTCAATTAATATTGCAAAAGTGTGCTATTTATATAGTCAGGGAGGTAATTTGTCAGGACAATTGCTATTACCTCTTCCACCTCTTAGCAATAGTATTTCTTACAGTAAAACTCCAATACATACATGAGGGCCCTTACAGGTTCACACCCATTGTTTCTGTATTTGTAGATGGAACTGAATTTTAATTTAGATTTTTAGTTACTCTTAAAATAATGTATATTAACTCAAGTTAGCTTTGTGTTTATATTACTAGTTAGATTTGGGGTTATGTTATCCTTCTGTTAATACATGAGACCCTCAAAAATATAGAAATATTCAACTGGTTTCAAAGCAAAGACCTCACCCCTTTGAACACATGAATTTGTATCCCTGAAATGAAAGAGCAGACTCATTAGGTCAAAACATCCATGGGATGAAAATAGGGATGAACAGGGAGCTACCCTTTCTTTACTGTTGTAAAAGTACATACTACACATTTGCTGAAACTGTTCTAAAAAGAATGTGGTTCCAAGTTTTGGTCTGGGATATACCTCAAACTCTTCAAGTTTAAAACCAAACAAACTGTAGTGAAACAAAATAGGAATATATTTTTAATATCTAATCAAAGATAAGTGTTTGAAAGATGCACACATTTTTCATGATGCATGATGAGTTTACATTTAGTCTCCTAATTTCACCATTTGAACAGAACAAACAGAAAGACAAAAACTAACTGAACTGATCCACCTCATCTGAACAACTGAACCACTCTGATATAAAGTGACTAAAAATGTTGACAACTGAGATGAAGTATGTGGAGACTCTCTTGGGATTTGTTACCCAGCCCATCCTGGTCTTTGGAGAAAGAGTGTTGCCTCGACAGCAGGACTGGCAGATCTGAGCAAGTACCAAGTCCTCAATTCCTGTGTTCCACTGGCTTACAAGCACTAGATAATATCCAAGGCTTTTTAAGATGGTCAGGTACAATGTGTGTTGGAATAAAGTGAACAAAGTAAAACTTCTTTAAATATTTGGGTGAGTTATCTGGCACAGAGATTAGACACAGATGTTAATCAAGTACTTGGTTTATTCCTGCTACACTATATTGAGGTTATTATGTCTTGGTGTGTGGCAGGATGACTGAACATCAGGGAATGAAAAATTGTACTGAAACATCTGTTTTTCATATTTCTAATTAATATGAAGAGTCATTAGTAGCGCAGTTGTCAAAAAAGATGCAGCAAAAGGTCAGAAGTTTTCCTGATGTAATGGTATTTCATTGCCATTAACCTGGTCAATGAAATAAAACAAGTGACTTTTCATTTAGCAGCAACCAGCACTCAGGGAGTCCAGCTAATGGGACATGAAGATATCACACAAAGTCATTGGTTAAATTCAGCCTGTCTGCAGTCCAAGTGCAGTTACCTGGTAGTGGCTGGTGTGCAAGGAAGGGCTGATTTCAAAGGAACACAGACTCCTGGATATTTTTGTCTTCACACCTAGTGGCAGATTTGCTAAGCAGTTTTCTTTTTTGCTACAATTTATGCAGGAAACTTATGAATAACATCTCACCTTGCATCAGTGTGTAGAGAACTTGAAGATCAGAGCTGGAAAAAAAAAAAAAATTAGGTGCCAAGTTTCTCAGGTTGCCAAGTTTCTTTAAATCCAATGTGATTCATGAGCAAGAGTCAATTGGACTTTTCAAAGTACAGAAAAGTCCTGTTGGAGAACTTATACCAAAATGCAGCCATTCAAGGCTACCCCAACATCACCCAAATTCAGAAATTACGATCCCATAGTCAGATCCCTTTTCCTGGCATAGAAGGAATTAGAATATATTAAAAAAAAAAGTTTGAAAAGTGAGAAACATAACTATGAATTGTTCTTGATTGAAAAGTAAACCACATCCCCAAAGTATTTGAAGTCATGCTTACAAGATAATATGTTTCAGTGCTTGTTTGTTTTGTAAATCATTGCAGAAGATACTTAGCTATTCATAAAAATTTTAGGAAAAATGGTGTTCTATTTCTTAGGGTTATTAAAAGTCTTCACTTTTACTCCAGGATGAATTAAGTTAATCTAGTGTGAAAAATATCAAAAAATATATTAAGACTATAAGAAGACTTGAATTGATCTAAAGCAGAACTTAGCATGATATTGGTTTGTATTCCAATGAAAATTTACACTAAAGACATTAGATTTCTCCTTAAATTTAGTAGCAGAATAATCTGAGCAACCAAAAAGCAAGTTACTTTTTGCTCTTTTTACTGTAGATACACTTCTTAGCAGTAAAGATGTGTGACATCCACAGATAGAGAGTGGAAGAATAAGCAGCAGAAAAAAATAAACCACAGGAAGAACTCTCTGCCTTGTGCTAAGGCCACTGAACTGTATGAAAGATTTTGAGTAAAGTTCTTTCTTCTCCAGCTTTACCACAGTTGACATCAAATAGTTCTTGGGCCAGAAAGTAGATGCTATTTTTGGATCCAAGGCCAAAACTCAGATTGATTTTCCCAGCTAATAAGTCAAGAAGAAAGCAGAATGCTTTGTCACTACAGCTTTTTGTACCACGTCTCCACGTAAAGCTCAGGAGCTTTCAGAATCCTTGCAGAATATACCGAGTACCTTGAGTCCCACGGGACTAAGACAGGAGCAAGACTATCCAGTCATTAACAGAACAGCTCTAGACTTGTTGAAAGTCATGCTTTCCACACACAGAAGAATGTTTCAAGCTAACCAAGAAGACATTTTAAGAAATTAGTTTAGACTGCTAAAGTTGGATAACAGTTGCACCAGGGTATAAATGATGCTTTTGGACAATAAAAATAAGCATATACTAAAAATTAGGATTGTGTTCTAGCTCCAGGGACTCTGTGCCCTGACTAATATCCCAGCTCTACAGCAAAATGATATGTGAATGCCAGCCATCTACTTCCTTTCACCTCTATCCTTTACCATGATATGATTTTCACACAAGTGAAGCACAGACACAGGGGCTGATCTGCAGCCAAATCCAGCCAAATTATGGGGAAACCTGGATTTATATGACAGACTGCAGGTTTTTCAGTTGTCAAAAAATATTGATTTCTCTGCTCTCTGTCCTAGCATTGCTGAGTGATTCTCAAAATCAAAATTCTAATTCTAATCACAAAATTCTATGGCTGAATTGCTGAGACACTGGAATCTTTGTTTCATATTCAGGTGAAGTATTGGCAAGTGACCAAAATGAGAGAAACTTAGGGCTGTTATTCTGTGCATTGCTGTATTTACTCTGTTGCTTCTTGCACTAGGACATTTTCTGTAAATTGAATTGAGGAGAAGTAAAACAAATACAGTTGAGATACCATCAATCCCTTAGAAGATTCTGACTATAAACAGCAATGTTTGTACTTTAAATAGGAGATACCAAAACTCATTTCCTGTCCTGCTATCTATATGCAGGTGGTCCTGTCTTTTTTAAGTGAGACCAAGATAAACAATGAAAAGCAATTTCAAGAAAGGTCTTTTAACTATGAAAATTAAATTTAAAAAACCAGTTATATTCTCTGTTATGTTTTGTCATATTGCTGAACTGTGGCAACCACTACAAAGAAGAGCATTGCAAAAGCAAAATTAATTAATCAATTAACTCTAATGGTGCATATGTATTATTGGTATATTTTCTATTTTCTTTTTCTTGAATTCTATTTATTTTTCTTTTGGGCGAATTGGAATGATGCACAAGCACATGCCTCCAGTACAAATGAATTCTTAGATAAGTTACTGATTTATCTGAGTTCAGTAATTTTCCTGTTCCTGTCCACCATGCACTTTTGAATAGAAAAGTCTAACCAGAAGAATATCTGTAAATAGTCAAAAATTTCACGTTGCTCCAAGGATAAATTCTCCCAGTGGCATCTTATATGAGTGGCTGAGTCAGTGCTTTGGTGGCATGTAACTGTGAACCCTTGAGCTAATATCCCCTGGAAAATATATTTTCAAGAACAGTATTTCTTCTCACCTTCATCTCCTTGGACTGCCTGCAGCAAGGGCTGACTCAGTTATCGATTAACAAGCTGAACTCTGAGGAAGCTGAAGGAAGGGACCCAGTTGAACCTGTTTGCATGTCAGTGCTGAATTTCAGTTATTACTGCAGTGAAAGCATATTGTCTTACTGTATTCAGAACTCTGATACTGTGCTTTAGAGCAAATTAGGTACTGAAACCTTCTGGAAAAAATCCAGTTCTATTTTTAACTACTAAATAAATAAATTGGACAAAGATAAAATGGCTGTCCAACAATACAGTGATAAGTCTTCATTTATTATGCAGTTCTTTTTATGGTACACCATGCAGTTTTTATTTCAAAGGATAATTAGAGATAGGTTCTCAGTTTCACTGTAATTTGCTATAAACAATGCTTTTGTTTCAAACTGCATTGCATTTCATCAGATATTGTTGTAACAAAAAATGTTTTCTCATATACACCAGTAAAAGCTCTTGTGGCTTTAAGGTTGGCTTGTTGAAATACATTTGTTTCTCCACAGGTTTTCAAAATGCATAAAAGTCTTTTCTTAAGGAAGTATGCTGTTCAAGAAGACTAATGGGAAAAGCATGTTCAAAGATCCCAACTGGTGGTCAGGAAAACAAGGGCAAATTTCTTACCTGCTACTAAATTTAGTCACTCCCTTACTTACTTGTGTTAGCATCTCAAAGGCAAAGATTTGATCCAGCCAAGCAAATAAAAATAATTTTGATTCCTAAGATAAGCATGTGTCGATCTATAATTGATTTGAATATTAAATCACTGATGATTCTGGACCTCTGCATGGAGAGGAACATTTTCTTTTCTACATTCCTTTCTCCACTGAAGCAATGCAATTTTTTTTATTTCATTCTTTTAATTTCTTCTGCCTTCATTGATTGCATATGGCACACCAAAGATAGTTCTGGATTTGTACCTTCATAGCTGCAGATTTCTAGTGACAAAGTC